TACATACACACCACTCAATTTCTATGTATTTACATATCTAACGGTAAATTTTAATTTTTACATATATGCCTAATTCATCCATCAATGAAAAGATATATTTCGCTTTTTAAATGTTAAAAATAACGGTATTTTTATGTAATATAAAAAAATTGGCTGGTATAAATGAAAAAAAAATGATATTTTACTCAAATCATAATGCGTCACGTGTACGGTTCGGCGAGCCAGCTCGTCATCTTTTCACACCTCATTTGGTGTTCAACACGTGCGAAACCTTATATAACACTTGTGGAACTGTACATCTAAGAACGACACATTTTTGTTATTCAAAACATAAACCTCACAGTGGGAAACTACACTCTCAACCACTATGTCATGAGTTAACATCAACAGAATCAAATTGTGACCAGGATAGGCAATCATGTCTCCTGAAATTTGAAATTTTTTTTATATAAATAATAAAATTTATTATTTTTTCTTATGTAGTATTTTGTGTAATTCAGTAATTTATTTTTTTATCCATGCAGGTAAGGGCACAATCACCGACATTTATAATTTTTTCTTACACACCAAGACATAACCCTTATATGCAGGAAAACTTATTCCATACGGACACCGCATGCAGAGATGCATGCGGTGCGGTGTCTGATCTACACCGTCGATCAAAAAAAAATTTTTTTTTTTTAAAAGTTAAAAACAGGGCCCACCGAAATACATCTTTACGGTAATCGACGGTGTAGATCGTCCGTATGGAATAATTTTATTTCATACGGACACCACATACAAAGATGCATGCGTGTCTGATCTACACCCTCAATCACCGATCTCCAACTGTATTTACTTTAAAGTACCAAACAATTATGAATTTGCAACATGCACAGTACTTAGAATTCACAACGTAACCAAATGGATCACGACTTTATCCAAATTTATTCAAGAAAAAATAAAAAATGGTTAAAAATATTCTCAATTAAGAATGATTTACATGCATGCCACTCAATTTCTATGTATTTGCATATCTTACGATACACCTTAATGTTTACATAAATGCGGCCTTCATCCATCCATGAAAAGATATATCTAGCTTTTTAAATGTTCAATATTTCACACAATTATTTTATACATTCGCAGAAGATTATCAAGCAAAATTTTCTAATTATTAAATATATCATCCCAAACATATCTAGCTTGAATCATACGAAATGAACGTGAACCATACTCAACATAAAATCAACATAAAATTAAATTAAAATTTTGGCTTGTAGCTTTATTGAACTCAATCCTATTTTTTTTTTTTTTTTTTTTTTTTTTTATTTTGTCGAAGTGGGCCCTCCCAACTCACTGAAAACAGAAAAAAAATATTACATTATGAGTTCTGATGGAAAACTGCATCAGGACTCTAATCACAATGTATCACATGTACGGTTAGACCCAGTCATACATTAAATTATTTAGTAGGGTATGACCGTACACGTGGCGCATTGTGATTGAAGTTCTGATGAAGTTTTGCATCAGGACTTCTGATGTATTATTTTTTTTTCTTAAGACTTTATACCATCCAGATATTTCATATCACATATAAAATACGTAGTTTTTTTTAAATTTAAGGGCATCTTTTTATTCATAGCAAAAGGGTGTAAATGTTAAAAGTGATTTTTACGTACAAATCACTCCAAACATCCTTATTTACATATCTCAAAGTAAAAAACACCTGGGTTTAAACTGTCAGGAGACTTGAGGATCATCATTCGAAGCTTTTGAAGCTCTAGCCATAGAACGATGCAACCTCCATCGAAGCTCGCAGCAACGACAGAGAGAGAAATCAACAACAAAGAGATGTGACAATGGTCATCAACTAGGGATAAGCATGGTACAAAATTTGTACCCTCAGGATATAAACAGGGTAATAACCGGTACAAGTTTGGTACAAAACTGAAACCCTACTTGTACCCCGCAGGTACAAATTTTGTATATGCTTATACCCTGACCGTCACGTGTCACAATGTTATTGAAATCCAGATACATCCGGAATCCACACGCAACATTTTTCCTTGGGCATCCTCCTAAAAATCAATTCACTCGATAATGGTGGAGATGGTGGACACGACAAGAGGGATGTCGATGATGATGGGCCCTAACATTTTTTATTAATGGCATTGTTCTTTTTGGTGTGAACAGGGGAATGAATATGGCTTTATTTGTAAATTAAATGTTTGAGATATGAAATATATAAATAAGGATGTTTGGAGTATATTAAAATTAAAGTTTATGGGTTGGATATGTAAATCATAGGAATTGAGTGGTATATGTGTAAATCTTCCACAAAAAATCCTTTGGCGTAAATTTCCAAAAAGAAGAAACAAAATTAAAAAAAAGAAAAAAAATGGATAGGTGAGAATTGACAGAACAAAAGCAGAGAGGAGAAAGGTTCAAAAAATACCGGACAATTGTGTAAAAACAAAGTGTTTGTTTCATCAGCTTTCCAACTTCTCCAACCTTTTTAACTCATTTGTGAAAGCGAAGTGTGTGTGTGTGGAACTGTTGAACCCTAGGATAATATTTTGTATTTTGTACTCTTTTTCTGAATTAAACGAAAGTTGTCACTTTGCTCTCGAGGACGCAGACATCTTCGTTGAACCTCGTTAAATCTCTGCGTGTACTTCGGGATTTATGTTGATTCATATTTTTCCTCGCCCTAATTTTTCGACACTAGCACCTAAATCTTTCACATTTACATATATAATACTCAAATTGCATACACATAAAAGCTTTCCGAGCTGCTCAGCTGACGAATTGTTGAACTACCCAACTGCCTAATTACCCAATTGTGGAATTGTCCTGCTGTAAAATTATTGAATTGCCCAAGTGTCTAGTTACACGGTCGTTGAACTGCCCAGCTACTGAAGTGGCAAACTACACAATTGTCGAAGCGGCTGAACAGCCTAGGAGAACTAGTTGAACAGTCGAGTCAGAGCACTCGTCAAATTATCTAACTGATGAACTAGCGAATTGTCATGTTCAACCACATTGTTGGATATGTCATAAAACTGTCGGACATGATATGACATAATAATGTTGTATGACTTAATATTATTTATATTTATATACTCTTTTAATTTATTTTATGAATATGATAATTTTAGAATATTTAATTAATTATATACTATAGTTTTGTAGAATAATATTAAATTCATTTAAGCACATCTCAATTTAATTTTAATCAAAATATTGTGGCTCGAATTTTATGCAAAATCTGCGCATTTATTATGCGCCATTAATAATCTATACGACTAAAAATGGAGGGTTGGGTAGGTGAAATCATTATTGACTATAGTAAGGAAATGTGTCCTACGATGCTCCCACATGATTTTAAATGAGCATCTCTTCCTTTAGAAAAAAAAAAATACATAAAATTAAATTATAGCAAAATAAAATAAAATAAAGGGGCATATTTACATGAATACCACGATATTTTTATGTTTTTACTATTTTCATATCTAGCTCTTAAAGACTTTGATTTTTACATTTGTAGTCAATATGACATGTAGAAATTGGAGCGAAGTGTCAAAATAGTCCCGGACTTTAGTCCCATGAGTCATATTTCAGCCCAATTAAAAAAATTATAGACTATTTTAACATTTTTATAAATTTTAGGATTAAAACGATCGCATATAAATGTTAAAATTGAAGTGTTAGATGTGTAAATAAAAAAAAAATTTGAGCGCTAAATAGCTAAAATGGTTATGTTAGAGCTGAAAACTCGAGGACTAAAACTAGACTAAAACAGTTTAATGTCGGGATGTAAACATGTCGAGTCAAATTCAAGCCAAGGCTTATCGAGCTTGACTTGTTTGCCAAATTATGAGTGTGAGCTCGAGCTCGAGCTCGTAGTGGTTGTAGTCAGCTCACAAGCTCAAATTTAAAATTCGATTGGGAGAAGGTATTGGTGACTGGAGAAGGATAATACAACAACATCCCACCAATAAGTATATTGAAATTACTAACGATAGGTTAATTGAGTTGACTCGCAAAGCAGCGAGCTGAGCCAAAACTAGCTCGTGCCTTGATAAGCTCACCTCATGAGCTACTTGACGAACCAAGTTCGAGCCGGAGCCGGCTCCAGCTCGGTCCATTTACACCCATAATTTCATATAAATAATCAACAATCATTTCGACACTTCACTAATGATGCGCCACCAAATTACTCATATATTTCTCTTAACTATGAAATTTTCTAAAAATAACCTCACAAGCTTTACAAACCAACGGTCAACGCTAAGAATTTCGTTGACTAACAAGAAGAAAAAAATGTCCACCTACTACAACTAGAATCCTTAACTAAGACCAGAAATCAACTCAATTAAAAAAATAAATATTAAGTCCAAAATTTGTACATTAAAATTTGATTGTATTTTGATTATTTTGATTATATTGATTGTATCAATGCAATCAATACAATCAAAAATAAAACAAACTACGCATTTATTTTATCCGCAGGTAATAATTTTTCATTAGCAAACAGGAGAGAGGCCGCCATCACCGTCAACCCCACCGTCGGCGTCTCGCCTAATATCTTTAAGCAGCGCCACCACTC